CACGTGCTCTGATGAGCGAGTGGTTGGGTCTGCATGCTCCCTGTGAAGAGCTTGCATTGTGGATCCTTTGGGAAAGGAAGCGAGCTCATCTGAGCAGTGATTTTAGCACACATTAATCCAGGCAGCTCTCACACCCAGAGCTGTCCATCATTCCCTGCACTCTCGCTCTACATTAGGAAACATTTTGCAGTGATGGTATGAAACAGTTGAGTGGGCTGGACTTGCCATCCTCTGCAGGCTGCAGAAACTGTCCTGCCGTTGCCTGGGCAAGGATGGTGTGCAGAACAGTGAAGAGTCAGCTGAGGCACCAGCTCCTTCTAGGTACGGTGTGAGTGGACAAACACCAACATTGCAGAGTTTTTGTATGTAAACTGTCCATGTGCTGGCTGTGAGTGGTGGGGAGCAACAGCTTTTTCATCCCCCTCATTTCCCCTGCCTCCTGGGTGGGTGCAGAGACGTGGATCTGTGTTTCTCTATAGGAGCCAGAGCTCAAAGATCCGGGCTGGGGTCATGATGTGCAGGGCTTGCTGGTGTGTGGTTGCCCCTCTGCTGTGCAGTGGAGCTCAGCAGCTCAGCTGGGGTCTGGAGCAAGGGAAGACTCTTAAGCTGCTGTGGGTGACCGCCTTGACCCCACCTCCTGCTGCAGTGTGGACCAAGAGTCTGGTGTGGCTATGTGGGCTGGGGGTTTCTGAAGGGATAGGCCAAGCAGTGCCTTCCACTGGGATGGTCTCAAGGGAGGACTACCCCGTTGAGGACTCATGTCTTCTCCTCCCCATCGTGAGTCTAGGCTTTTCTCACTGCCTTAGTGAGTCCCATAGACCTGGGTGGTTGTGCTGTTCCCCTTGAACATCATCGCAGCAGCTGCTCCGCCATCAGCACCAGACGCAGAGCAAGGTCCATCAGAGCCGCTGCGGGCCATCCTGTGTTCTGCTAGGGGTTGCAGATCTCCCTGCTCTGTATGAAAGATGGGAGCTGGTTGCAGAGTTGCTTCAGACCCTCAAGACCTCTCTGTGTTCAGCTGTGAAGTTGTGCTGCTGCAGGAATGATCCTGTCCTGGCCAGTGGTGCTAGTGGAGACGGTCAGTCAGCATTTGCTCCTCAGTCCCCATTTCAGCCTGTCATTGTCTCTCAGTGGCAATTGTCTCTTCCCATCTGAGAGAGGTGAGAAGCCTGAGGTGGGGATCTCTCTTGTCCCTGAGAAGCAGGGTATGTGAGAAGCTCACATACGTGAGGGCGTGTATTAATGAAGCAGAGCAACGCGCACGCAGTAAATTCGTGTGGTCACTTAGTGTCTTCTGTAGTCTTGCTTTCAACCTGTATCTCTTCCTTGGCCACCAGAACAGAGGCACGTTGGACTTTTCTGGGAATCAGTGGCACTTTTGGGTATGGACCTAGAGTATCACATTATTTGCATCTCATTTCCCCCACCATCACGGCTTTTCCACTGTGTTTAAATGATCTTCAGCTTCTCCAGCAGCGAAGAACAGCACAGCAGCCAGAGGTCCTGCTTGGCATTGTGTTGGCGCTCTGGTTGCTCTTTTGCACCTCTTCCCTTGCCTTTCTTCAGGATCCTGAATGCTGAGAAGAGCAGCAGCTTTGTTTGCCTTCCTGCTCCTGAGACAGCAGCTTAGAAAGGGCTTTGGCAAGAGGCGGTTGTGTCTGACTGCTCCTGGCTCGAGTGGGTGATTGGGCTGTCTGAGTGGTTTAAGGTTGCAGTCAGGTGGGGAGTGAAGGCAGAAAGCTCTGGCCTCCTTTCCATTAGATTTTTGCTGCGTTAGCAAATGCATCAGATGCAGACTGGGTCTAGAGTGGCCTTTGCCGGCACAGTTTGTACCAGCTCTGGGGTGTTGGGAGCTGGGCTGGCGAGCCCGGGGAGGAGGGTTGGGCTGATCCCCGTGCAGCTGTGTTCCAGGCTGCATTGGGTGGCCACTGGCCACGGGAACCGTCAGCTTGTCTTCCTGCTGCCCGCTGCACTTCAGATGGCTTCCCCAGAGCTCGCAGTTGATGGTTGTGGACCAGTATGTACCCTGGGGTGACTGTCAGTGGGCAGGGTTGCAGTCCAGTGAGGGTGGATTTCTAGTTAAACCTTTGGGGTTTTATAATCTTCCTGAGTTAACGTTCCTCTTTCTCAGCAGAGTTGGAGCAGAAATTTAAGGGAGGAGGTGGGGGGTGATGAATTTCCTCCTGCTGAAGGGCCATGGCAGGTACACAGTGCTGCAGCAGTGTGGTTTGCTTGTCCTGGCGCTAATCATCATTCCTAATTAGCACCTTTTGTGATAGCATCTCTTGCTCCCCTGTGGGGCATGCCAGATTCATCTTGTGGGAGCAGGGGTGCCCCTTCCATGGTTCTCCTCCCTCTTGCAGTGGCCAGCACGGTGGGAGGCATTGTTAGCTGGAGGACAGGGACAGGGTGCGGATGTGCCACCATCTCAAATCCGCACTGTGGTTTGAGGTTTAACGCAGCCTTGAGGGTGAAGACATGCAGCTAACAGTGTATTTGGGGGGCTGAGACTTCTTCCGTGCTCCTGTGGGCATTGACATCCAAACCAACTTGGCCAAGGCTTTCAAATCTATCTAATGATTTTGGGTTGGCAGGTTGAGATAAGGCAAGTTGGAAGCAGTGCTGAGCACTTCTGGAAAAACAGACCTCTTAAATTGGTTACTTTAGGGTTTGCTTTTGATTTACATAGCCTGTACCTTGGTTTTCTTATCAGTAACACTCCCTTACCTCTCGAGGTTTTCTTGGGGAATGTATGGAGTTTGCATCCAGACTGTCAGGCTGAAGGATGGCAGCATATCACGGGTTGACATGGTTTTGTATTCCGTTTGGTGGATTGTTTGCCCGTTTTAAAGTAACCTTTATTACTAGCGGAGAGTATTAGGTTAAATACTCTGGATGCTGCAGTTCCATGCCGCACTTTTAGACCAAGTTTCATGGTTTTAGCTGAGGCTGTCTCACATTTGAACCCCAGAGTATTGGACTGTAAAAGCCAAAGAAAAACAATGGATCCTGGCAGCACAGTACAGGGTGGCAGACTGAAATAAACGTAATTTTTTTCTGGCCAGATTCCCAGGGTAGTCAGTGTGCTGGGTGGGAAGAAGGTAAGAAAGCCCTTGACCGTTGGGGCACACTGGCCTACCCACCATCTCCCCATTTCAAGGCCAGGTTCACCAGGGTGGTACATCTCCGAGCTTGAGATGAGACACAAGCATGATCCTGGGGCAGAATACCCTGCAGTGGCAATTCCATGGATAATTTCATAAAGCTATGTTAAAAGCATGTTGCATCCCTGACGGTGGCTTGCTGGTTTTCACCCCAAGGAGTGAGGGGTGGCTCTTTGTCATCCAGAATAGCAGTGAAGTGGGTTTACTTTGTCCCATCCTCAATCTCTACTGAAGTCAAGCAACTTTAAAGACCATTAAAACCTTAAGGGTTGCATCCCTTCTCCTCTGCCCTGCAGAATTAGATGTCTCTTGTGTTACAACGTGCCAGATCCCAGACCTCGGTGTCTCTACTTGGCAGCACTTGGGTGCTCCTGGGGTGTGCAGGAGACATGGGGAATGCTCAATACCCAAGGAACAAGGCTGTATCTTGCAGAGTTCTGCCTTTCGCAGCAGAGAAGGGAGGCTGACCGCTCAGCCCCACTGCAGAGCAGGCGGTGATGGGGAGGCACCCCCTCTCCTAACGCGGCGGCCGTGTTTCTCCTTGCAGGTGGTGGTGCTCCTGGAAGTCCTGAGCTGGGGTTGCCTGGAAGATGACCGAATATAAGCTGGTGGTGGTGGGAGCTGGTGGTGTCGGGAAGAGTGCTTTGACGATACAGCTCATTCAGAACCATTTCGTTGATGAGTATGACCCCACAATAGAGGTAAGCGGCTCTGGGCATGGGGTCGGTCTGTCTGTCTGTCTACATGTTTTCCTCTTGTTCTTCTCTACCTTGCTTCCAACCCAGAGCGTGCTTGGCTTGGTCTCAAGTCTGAACTTGAGCAGGGATGTTCTGCTTTGTAGAGCTATTCTGAGTCGCAACGTGTGTGTTCAGAGGTCGCAGTGACCAACTTGTGCATCCTGCAGAAGGACAGTGGTGTCTGCTGAAGAGAGATGGTGAGGGAGACAGAAAAAGTGGGCAGAGGGAGAGGCAGCAGAAGCGGGCAGAGCCGGGCAGGGGCCGAGAGGCAGCATAAAAGTCCTCCTTTCTGATGAGATGACAGTGTAGGGAGGGGTTAAAGATTTGAGGCTGAAGAGCCATTTTGTGCCTGAGCTTCTATTTCTCCTCCTGTGAAATCGGAGTAAATATATTGATTTCTCTTGCAGGATGTTTTCAGATTTACTGGTGAAATGGGTTTTACCAGAGCTTGGTCGTATTATGTATGTCTTGCAGTTTGAGCGAGACATGCTGAGCAGCTGAACTGTTATAGTTCCCAGAGTGCTGTCTCTGCTCCATTGCCAGGAGTTAAAGGTTGATGTGTGTGTCTTGTACTCAGTGTGGATGGTAACACTGGCCTGTAGAGCTCAGCACCTGCCTGGAGAAGCAGGCAGGGACCCTCTGCTCCTCCAGGCTGTGCAGAGGAGGGATCTGGTCTTCAATGTGCATTACACTATTTATTTATTTTTCACTTTTGAAAAGCATATTCCAGTCTCTGACTGCTTTCACCATTGCTAGTGAGATGCTAATTACCCCCTGCATGACTTACACCTTCGTTCGGGGGAGATGTGGGCATCAGCCGCTGCTCTGCATGAGGAGTAAGTCCACCCTGGGAAGGCAAATTACAGCTCAGTCATGCCTCTTGGACAATAACCTTCCTGTCTGCAGTCCTAAAGGATTCTCTACCAGATGTGTATAAATGCAGCTGTGGTTGCTGCAGTTGTTATTATCATAATGGCTAAAAGGCCCCAGCTGGGATCAGAAATCTGTTCTGGTAGGTGTCGTATATGTAGTCCCCACCCTGAAGAGCTTACAACTTAAATAAACAAGCAAGACAAGGCTTGGTAGAAAGACAGAAATAGTCTTACCGTTTTACAGATGGGAAGGAGAGAAAGCACTTAAAAGCACGTGCTATGACATCATTTGGCCAAGGTCACCTAGAAAGTCCGTGGCAGAGACTGGAATTTAATTTAACGGCTCCCGAGTCTCGGTGCTGCACCTTGCTTATGGATGCAGTTGCCTTCTTCCCCAGCTCCTCTGCCCTCAAGTGTTTGTCACCAGTAGCATCATATGCTTTTCTTAGAAACTTGTTCCAGGTTGGTTTTGGCAAAAGAGCTGCCGATGGAGAGCAACCTCCCTGGGGAGATATCTGCAGGGATGGGTCCTCTCTTGGACCTTAGGGTGGGCAGAGGCAGCTCTGAACCAGTGATGTATTGGGTTTTGGCATCTTATTTTTTTTGTCTTCAGCCGCCTGTCCCCTGTATGTGTACATGTACCCTGCAGGGAATTTTCTCCATGTAAACAGGCAGCGGGGAATGTAAACCTTGCATGGCATTTCCCAGCACACCCTTCTCACCCTTCCTGCTCCTGCTGTGCCCTGGGAGATGCCTGCTCTCCCGTTCCCCCCAGCCCTGCTCGCCTCCTCTTCTCTCCCTAAAGCAGCCACAAGCTGCTCCTCACACCTCTCACCCCTGGTGCTTTTCCACCTGCAGGTCCAACTAGCCTGATACTTCTGCAGCTTCCTTGGTTGTGCCCCGCATCCCCCCTCACCCTGGCCATCTTCTTACTTGTTCCAGGGTGACTCTTTTTAATTATACTTTGTTTTATGGGGGTTTAGGACACACAGTTACCTGCTTGGCATCTGAATGTGACCAACAAACCACCCTTCTGTGACTAAGCTGCTTTGGATCATGCCCAGGAGCTGACTCGGACTGTTCAGCCAGCTAACAAACAGCACAGCAATGCTGAAATGAGCAGGATAAAAGGGGGAAGAAAAAGAAAAAAAAAAAAAAAAGGAGTATATGTGCATGGAGCAAAGACTTTACCTGTTGCTTAAATGAATCGAGCACAGGCTGTGGTGCAAAGTGGGGTGCAAGTGGGTTGGGGTTCACGGAGAACATGCTACCCAGGTCAGGAGGGGTGGAGAAGTGAGTTTGTCCGCTGTCTGAGGCAGAGACACTGACTGAGTGCCTGCTCCCCTCCTGGCCTCTCAGTTCACTAGTGCAAATGTCTGACTTTGTAACTGAACACTGGTCGACCTGCTACAGCACGTGCTTGCATGCTTACTCTTGGGCTGCTGAGGAGCCTTAAGACCTTTATTTTGGGAATGGGAGGGCCAAGGCACCAAGGAAATGTGTGCTGCTGGGAGTGTCTCATGGCAAATGAGGGGGGATGGAGTGAGGAGTCAGACTGTGTTGAGAAGTTCCTCAATTTGTCTTCCAGCTTTTAGCAGTCAGATTTCCCAAGCCTCTGGTTGTATCCTGACTGTAGTGTTTTAACAAATGGACCTCTTGGCCTGGTCCCCCAGGACACCTGGGGTGCTCCCAGCCTCCATCTGGGATCCTGAGTCTGAACTCCAAGTGGCCATTGTTTCCGCTGCCTGGCACTTCCCAGCTGGGTCCGGCCACTTTCCCTTATGCAAGAAGGTGGGGTGGGACACGGGAGGCTGTTGATGGGACAGCCTGTCAATGACCTGAGCCAAGATGTGAGATCGCTTCTCTGTAGGCATGCTGTCTGCTGGTGAGACCTCCTGTAACTGGGGACTTGGCAATTAATTGTGAACCCATGTGACGAGAGGCTCTGGATGCAAGCCAGGGTGCAGGAGCAGGAGGATGCTCTGCTGGGCACAGCAGGCACTGGAGTCCCCTTTGCCGGTCCCTGGAGGTGGGACCACTGCTCTTCTACCTTGCACTGAGGAGGCTCCAGATACATTATGGATTAGAAATGGGAGCGCATCCCTGCAGGGCAGCCTGCCAGTTGCCTTCAGAGCGGTTGGCTGGAAGCCAGCCCATCATTTCACACTTATTCCTGGTGGGTCAGCAGTCCCCTTTTTGGGAAGGTACGGCCAAGAAGGTCGTGACAGAGCAGATCTCATCTCCTCTGATTTCATGGCCCTCTTTGCAAGGTGAGGAAAGACTTTTATTAGCCCCAGTAGATGACGTTGTTGTAGTAATGAACCAAAGGGTGGAGGATGCATTGGCCTCGTTCCCTTTCTGTGCCACTGCTGGTCCTGTCAGTGGCCTTTGCTGCGTCTGCTGTTTGTCTGCAGACCTGCAGAGCTCATCTGATAACATTGTTGTGGTCATTGGAAGAGCAGCAGACACTTGAATTAATTTTAAACTGCAGCCATAGCCTCTGCGAGTGGCTGCAAAGCACTGTCGTGGTCAAATCGACGACTTGCACCTTTTTTGCACCTTTGGTTTTGGCTTCTTCTCTTGCTGAGAGTGGAGGACGCTGCGCCGTACCTGGGGGACGGCTATCCGAGAGGGATGAGGCTGTTCCTCCATGCAGGGGCTGCCCTAGCAGCATCCCTGCTGATGAGACCAGGCACAGGGGAGAGGCATGGTGGGGAGGAGCGGTGCTTTGAGGAGCTTCCTTTGAAAATGAAACCTTTTGAGGGATGCCCTGGGTGATTTCCAGGCCTTCTCACATCTGCGATAAGTTGCGATTGCCTCTGCTGCAGGGAAAATCTCCAACTTCAAAGGACCTGCTTGGATAGTCCCTGCCTCTCCTGGAGCCCTCAGGGCACAAACTGGTTGTGGGAAGCACCCTCCTCACAGCTGTAATTTATTTTTTTTCTTCCCTCATGTTTGAAGAAGAGGTTTACTATCAAGCCCAGTTTGCAGCCTCACTGGTGGCATATCGCCTCTGGTGCCTGCTCTGAGATGCGTTGGAGGTGCTGGGTTTCCAGGTGATCTTAAACACCCTCCAGCCCTGCATATCGCAGATGGTGACTGGAAGACCTGGTTGGCCGGAGCTGCCTTTCCTGGATGTCTCCTTCCAGCACCTGGGCAGGGCGGCAGCAGAAGGGATTAGCTGGGACTAAATAAAGCTCAGGAAAATAGTTGTTGAGGGCTATGCGATGTGGTAGAGACAAAGCTGTCCCTGGTCTGCCAGAGGCAGGACTGGGAATGGGGAGAGCAAGCCAGGGGCTGTCTTCTCTGTGGCTCTGCCAGAGAAGGGGAAGCCTGCTCAACTGTTCCCTTTATTCCTTTATTCCTTTCTTTTTTTCTTTTTTTTTTCCCCCTCTCCTTCTTTTCCCTTTCCCTCCCATTTTTGAAACGGATTGAGACAGTTATTTAATGGAACTAAACCCGTGATGTCTTCCCAGGGATGCACTTGCTGCATCCCTTTGCTTGGCCAGACCCGAGCACTCCCATAACACATCCTCCTCCCTTTCTCTCCCTATCCTGGCCTGCAGGATTCCTACAGAAAGCAAGTCGTCATTGATGGAGAGACCTGCTTGTTAGACATCTTGGATACTGCAGGGCAAGAGGAGTACAGTGCCATGAGAGACCAGTACATGAGAACGGGGGAAGGATTCCTCTGCGTCTTCGCCATCAACAACACCAAGTCCTTTGAAGATATTCACCAGTACAGGTCGGTATCCTGGGAAAGGCCCCTTCCCTCTTGCCCTGTGCAAAGGGGAGGCCTTGTGCTGCACCCTCCTGCCCTCCCTTTTAGATCAGCCCCCGCAGTGGAAGCACTGGCTGCTGGCAAAGACAATTAGCTCAAGTGGCCATTCCCCAGGGAAGAGTCAGAGCAGACGGCTAATGTCAGTGACTCCAATAAAACCCATCCGAAGGGATTGCTTGTGGCCTTTGGGGACTTGGTAATGTAATGTTGAAGTGTTTATGGTGACTAAAGAGAGAGCTGATCCTCCATGACCCCCTCCCTTTCCTCCCTAATTAATGGAATTGCTCTGTTAGTGCAATCGATCTCAGTGACTTCTGCTGGGCCTGGGAGTTGGGAGAAGAGGCTGGGAAGGGTAGGGAGGGCTGCTTCCCCCACTGGCAGCTGTTGCGGCAAGGCTGTGGTCTGCTGGCCACACGCACGCGAGGAGAGGCAGTCCTGGCCAGTTAGAGCTCGGCTTCAACCAGGGCCAAGATGGAGCAGGAGGAGAGTCGGAGCCCTGGCGAGGTGACTTGCCCAAAAGGATGTCCTAGAGGGGCAGTGGCAAAGCAGAGACCTCATCCTGGTGTGGTCTTGCTTTGGCTGCACCCAGGTTACCCATCCTGTTTCTTCTTCCTGCTGCCATCACCCCTGCAGAGCTGGAGGGCCAAGGTGATGATATAAATGCAACGGGAGTCTTCCCCGGTTACCCCCATGTTAGCTTAGGGAGAGATCTTTCTGTTTTATGCCTTTTTTTTTTTTTTGAGGCTTTACTATGATAGGAGGCACTTGCCGAGGATGCAAGAGATGGCTCTGTCCACTGTCCACCAAGTGACTGTGTACCCCAGTCCCTCGCCATAAACCCAGGTCCCAGATAATCCTGTAGCTCCGAGCACAGGCACAGCCCTTCCTTGCTCTGAAATCAGAGGCGCTGCTCCGAGCCGTCGAGATGTCTCAGTCTTCAGCTAGCAGGCATGCTCAGTGTAATAACTATACGGTTGGACTAATGTGGCTTGTTTTAGCTGAACTGGAGGACAAAGGATGGGATTTTCCTGAAGCACCTGAGGGATTCAGCAGCATTCATCCTAGTGCCAGGGCTGGTGCCTGTGAATCACTCTCAGGATGGCTCGATTTCAAGCCCCAGTTTTAATCATGATGTAAATCACTGGCTTTCGTCTTGTTTCGCCTGTGCTCTTTGTGTTTGCCCTTTTAAAAGAATATTCCCCAGAGAAAGGCTGGCTCTCCCTGGTTAGTAACCATTAGGAGGTATCTCTTTTCAGCTAAGTGTGGCCTGTGCACTAAATTTAGTACTTGCGTTTGCCGATCAGGATGTTACATGGAACATTTAAGTGGCTTTATGGCATATCATACATCTAGTCAGACTTCATTTCCATGTTCTACTACCTAAAAAAAGATGATTGATTTTTTTTATGTGTGATGCATGTCCCAGCTGATTTTGGATGGAAATTTGAATTCAATTAAAATGCAAAATCAGCATTTTAAATAATGCTTTTATTAGTTAAATAAAACCATGTTAAATGTTCTGGATGCACGAGCAAGAAAAAAAAAACTGGTTTGCGTCTAAAGTTAAATGATTTATTAAGCAATGGAAGTTATTATCTGTCAGGAGGGAATTGAATGGATTGTTTGTGGTCATCATAGCCTTTAAGATTTTTAGAAGTGGTAGATCTCATCCTCGCCCACCTAGTTTTAAATCTGAGGTTGGAATGAAGAAGCGAGCATTACAGCTTTTTTGCTTCCCAGTTGGTTTCTCAACTTTGAGTGACCTGAACTAAACTGAAAGGAAGCAAAGTCTGCCTGTGCATCTGCAGAAAAGGTTACGGCTGCCAAAAGCTGGTTTATCAGTGTAGCAAATTCTGCTTGCAGGTGGTTTTATTTATTTTTATTGTTTTTTTTTTAATTCAGGGGGATTACTTGATCTAAAATGTTGGAAATAACACAGGTAGCTGCTTGAGTATTCATTTTATTTACCTTAAACTATCTTAAGCTCATGTCTTAATATAGATTGTCATAATTTCAAGTTATGTTTTGTAAACAGTTGCATTTAAAGAGCAGGAGTATGTTTAGTTTTCATTTCCAGTAGTGCCCCAGCTATTTTGCTGTTTACTCACTTACGTGCTGTGGTCGTTTACATTCTCCTGAAAGCCCAGCACAAGGCACTTGGCAGGAACGAAGTGTAGCTGTTAATCCTTGATGAAGAAGCTGGTGGAGAGTGTCCTGGAGCTGCCCCCTGATGCCTTTTCTCCCTTCACTTTGGCACCTCTTAACTCTTGCAGGGAGCAGATCAAGAGGGTGAAAGACTCAGATGATGTTCCCATGGTGTTGGTGGGAAATAAATGTGACCTCCCAGCCCGGACAGTGGAGACCCGGCAAGCGCAAGACCTGGCCCGGAGTTATGGGATCCCCTACATAGAAACGTCTGCCAAAACCAGACAGGTAGGAAGAGGGTTTTAAACAAAATCTTCTTTTTCTTCTCTTTTCTCCAGTGGTGTCCTGGAGAGGCAGGAATGGGCAGACACTACCTTGCAGACAGGTGGGTGTGAGGGCCAGGGTTAGTTGCTTCCTCAAGGCTAATTGCTCCATCAGGATGTTCCCTCCCCTGTCTGAGCTTGAGCCTCCAACCCGGAGAAGTACGTAATTCGTGCTCTGGCAGCAGCGAAAGGAAGATACTTTCTCTAAGGCTCTGGAGTAACCCCCATAGTCACTGCAGGTCAGCTAAGCTCAGGGGACTTAGCTAACCTCATCCACGGTCTATTTTGGCAGAGCTACAGGCAGAATATACTAGTGCTGGAAGGACCATCTGGGGCTCCCAGAGCACAAAGGTGGAAATAGAGCAGCTGATACCTTCAGTGTTCTAGTGGTGGCTTTTCTCTTGGGTGGTAGACCTCAGTCAGGCTGCTGAAAGTTGATGAATCTCAAGGACTTAAGAGCTCCTTGGTTGCTCATTCAATCTCGCTCTCCGTTTGGGGACCACACTAAGGTCCCTGTTACTCTTCCCAGCTTGGTTTCGTGCCTTTAACTCTGCAATCTGCACTGCTGGAAGACAGCGCTAGGGACACCTACATGGGGAGCAGAGCCCTCTCTTCTCTTCACTGTCCCCTCTCGAAGTGGGCAACTGCTTCAAGCGATGCTTTTCTTCCAGGGCGTTGAAGATGCCTTCTACACCTTGGTGCGGGAGATCCGTCAGCACAAGCTGCGCAAGCTGAATCCCCCAGATGAGAGCGGCCCTGGCTGCATGAACTGTAAATGTGTGATATCGTGATGATGGTGAGTTCTGGAAGCAGGAGATGGGGTGCAATGGGGGTGTGTTGGAAGCAGGACAGGAGGTGACTGCAGATGCACTTGTCTGCAAACAAATACAGCAGAAACAGTTTCAGCAATGGGTATTTTTTAATGAAACACCTTTTTGACTGAAATAGCATTTTTCTGTCAAAACATAGGTAAGTAAAAATTCCCACTTTCCTGAGGAAGTGTGTAGGAGGAAAGAGTTGTTTATTTTTCCCCCTTGTTTTATGCAACAAAATTCTAGAGAACTGAATGAAGAAAAAACCAAACATGTTTTGTTGTGCTTTCTTGGGGAAAGCTTCTTCTCATGCTGCCCCTCTGAAAGAGGAGTTGAGCTGGTGCGGAAGGTGTGCGGCTCACTGCGTGTTCACTGGAGTGGCCCTAGAAGAGTTCAGATGAAGAGCTGGGTGACCACATTGCCACCTAATGCACTCGTGTAAATTGCCTCATCCTAAAGCTTCAGAGCAAACCTGTCTCACTGTGAAAGTCCTGTGTTCCTCAGAAGAGTTTTCCCCATTTTAGATAAATCCACTGGGATGTTTGGAACCGATGCAATGTTGAGAATTAGCCATAAGGGGGCTGTTCTGCTTTTATAAATGGTGCGTGCTGGAGCCAGAAACGGTGTTTTTCAGATGGTCCATGCTCACTTGCCTGTTTTTCTTCTTTTTCTTTTCTTCTTGATTGGTTTTTGTTTGTTTTTTTTAACGATGAGTTTATTTAAATCATTGGAATCCTGCTGGATAGCAGTGAGGGAGAACTCCTATCCGTGTCCCGGTGTGAGCTGGGTGGCCTTAAGCCAAATGCCTGGGAACATCTGGCTGTGTAACCAGCTCCTTCCATGGCAGAAGTGGAGAGAGAGGCAACTGGGGATGAGTGCACCGGGTAGATGTATATCTAAGGACATCTGGGACTGGGATGTGGGAAAAAAGCCTGCGCAAACATTCCCCTTAATGTCTTTTGGGGAGTTTCCCAAGCACCCATACTGGCCCTTCACCCTTTTACACAACAACTGGAGTCCTAAAGAGAAGCGCATCATGTCCAGAGATGGTGCCAAGAGGGTCTCACTGAAGGTGGAGGTGGGCAGCTGGTTTTCCTTGGTTGCTTTTTGAGCCAAAGGCCATGAGCACAGCAGAACAATTCCCTCAAAAAAAAAAAAAAAGGCGCTGGCAGCGTTTGCTTCCTATGAGCCATAAAAGCACCCAGGCACCCTACCCCTCCGCTCCCAGCCGAGGTGCTCGAGGTCTGCTGGGGGCTGAGCCAAATGCTGTGCCCAGCACACCACTGCTAAGGGGGTTTTCCAGATGTTCAGGTCCTCCAGATGTTCAGGAGCATTTCCTCCGGATGAGGATGTGAGCTAGGGGCTCATTTCCTGCTCTGGCTCACAGCTGACGACATGGGCTCGGCAAACACTGCTGCTCCCCTACATTGACTGCTGGGATCCCAGTCCCCGTCACAGCCTGGTGGCCAGAACCAGCATGGGCATTGCCTTCAAAAAGAGGGGCAAGAAGGGGTGGGAGGGAGTCTCTTGGAATCCCTTCTGTAAAAGGAGTGTGCCCTGTGAGTTGCCCACATCTTTCTGCCCAGGCAGAAACTGGAAGCCAGACATCCCACTTTATTCTAGCTGCAGTGGCCAAGAGCAGAGAGGGAAGGAACATCAGGGCAAAAAAGGAGAAGCAAGGCAAGGAGACGCTGGGTTTTTGGGAGGAGAAGAGGGGGAGTGTGGCCATGGAGATTTGGCTGCACTTTCCCTGGATGCACTTTGTGGTTCCTGTCATCCCTGGAGGATGGAGAAAGATCTTGCCACACAGTGCCCCTGCCCACAACAAGGTTTGTGCAGAGGCAGGTGGTCTGGTGAGATGCCTGAGGCTCACCCATTGCTCCACAGACCATTTGCTTGTTCCCTTCAGCACATGTGCAGATGCTTTGCTGAGCCAGGTCCAGACCTCCAAGATCTGTGTAGCCATTTGCCTTCCTTCTGGGCACTAGCAGGGTCATCCGGGAATGTGAGGGGTGGGTAATGGAAACAGGCCCCGCTGGTTCTGATGGTGAATGGGTGCTAATGAGTGTCCTCTTCTGGTTTCAGCTGACTGGACTGTGTCTTGGAGAGATTCCCACTGTGCAGAGTGCAAGGAAAGAGGTGAAGCGAAGGAAGAAGCAAATGGATTCAGGAGAGGAGTATAGGGGGAGGGGGAGAGGAAGAGGACAGGGGGAGCATGAGCCCCTCCAAGGACTATCTCGCACTTCACCTAAGCCTACAACAAACAACTTTTTTTCTTTTTTTTTTTTTTTCTCTCTCCATCCCCCCGTCTTTTTGCCTTCTCCCACCCCGGCAACTGTACAAAGCCACAGATTGAATCACAGTAAATTATTATTTGATGGTCTCAACAAACCGTCTTGATGGCTTTGTCCTCCTTCCAGAGGGTGCTGCTGCTGGTGCTCCAGGAGGATCACTGGTGGAACAGCAGGGAGGGAAGGGCACTGAGATTTTCTCTCCACGGACCGAGGTCACACTGTAGACCATGAAGGCGATTGGGGTGGGGTATCCTTCAGGGAAAGACCTGTCTTCGTCTCCAGCAAGTAGTCATCATGTCCTCATTCCCCGCCATCCCACCTGAAACTCTTTGCCGGCCCCAAGTTTTAGAGGGGTGGAAAAGCTCAACCAGCCCAAGCCTGTCCTCAGTGCTCCCCTGGGTACTTTGCCTTCAACCTAGTCATTGTGGGATGTTTTTATGGCCTCAGATGCAATGCCTGGAAAGGAAGAAGCATCGGGGAGGACAGCTGAGAGCTGGGTTCACCTCTGCTGGTGCCAATTTGTTGCTTCCTTGATTTTTTTTCCAGGCAGCTCTTTCTGGCACAGCACCTCCCAAATGTTTATGTGCTCCAGAGGTAGAATTAGGCCTTTCTGCTCCCCTCCAGCACCCAGCTAATGCTAACACCTGCATAGCATATATACCCTGGGCTGCTCCCATCTGTCAGCAGTGTGAAATGGTGTGGAGATGCTCGTCTGTCCTGTGCACGGCTTCATTATGGGTGAGCATGTAGCAGAAGGACTCTCCACTGCAGACAGCTGTCTGACTGCTCAGCAACTAAGGCTAAAGGATTCAGACTTGCAGGTTTAGAGTGGGTAAGAGTGTTTTGGACAAGGGCTCATCTGTTGGAAGGCCTGTCTTCGCTAAGCCCTGCTCCTTTGGGATTTTTTACCCAGGGTCTGACTGGCTTCTCCCACGTGCCTTCCACTTGCAGAGCCAAGACGAGGCATCGCACGCAGTGCAGCAGGCAGCTCAGTGCTCACTGCCTTTCCCTCTCCCAAACTATTACACCAGCTAATTTAGTTGGCATCCAGAATTAAGAGCATCAAAGGAGGATGGTGATCCAGCTGAGCATGGCAGGGAGCTGTTCCGCACGGGCTAGCCCGGGCCTGAAGAGGCGCCGGGTTTGGCAGCCAAGGCTGGTAGGGGTTGGGAGCAGCAAGGGCAGCGCATGAGTCACACACCTCACACAGCAAAACCCGTACAGAAACCCTGGGCACCCCTGGCACGAAGCCACAGCCCACTCAGGGCTTCCCAGCATCCGTGCGGGCAGCCTCCCGTCCAGCTCCTCATCTTCCGTCGTGCTACGCAGCAGCAGAATTAAACTCCAGCGCTGCTTGAAGTTGCTGCCTTTGCCTTTGGTCTGGGCAAGAGAGGACTTGTGCTAAGGGCTCACTTTTTGTCCCTGCCTGCTCCGAACTGCTGTGGGGCACAGCCCCTGCCCTGGTTGCAGCTGCCTGGCACCCAGTTCCTGCTGGAGAAGGGCTGATCCCAGCTGGAGTGGGAGAAGTTGCCCAAGGGAAGAGTTGCGCTGCCTTTAGCTGGATGTGCCGTTTGCAGCAGCACCTGTCCCCATGCTGGCGGAGTGCTGAAGATGCTGAGTCTGGTGTTACATGGTGGGGCTGGACCAGAGGCTCCCAGAAAGCATCCCAACCTAAGTTGCTTCCAGTGGGAAGTAGGGGTTTTGTTCCTAAGCTGGCAGCTTGTGCACAACTGCAGGCAGGGCAGGGCTACTTTGTCCTTCTGGAAGAGACAACTAAAAGCCTCAACAGTTACTGGGTGAGTTGATGTGGGGGCCCTTGCTCAGTGGTGTTACTGCACTGGGGGAACCTGGTGCTCTTTTTTTCTGCAACAGACCTTATCCCATCCTTCACCAGGCCCTTGGTGAAGGATGGGATAGCTCTATCTGGAGGCCTTCAGATGAGAAGTAACACTGTGTTTGGGGTTCTAACATTCAGTGTTTGAGGCTTTCTCAAAGACTGGACTCTGGATAGCTCTAACCACTGACAGTATCCTCTCGTTTCTGGTTGGGAGCCAGAAGCCGCAGTCAAGGACCAGGAGCCATGGTCAAACAAGGTCAGGAGTTCTGGGGAGCACCAGAGGTGAGCTGTCTTCAGAGGGCAGGCACCAGCTGCAGTTGCAAGAAGCTGGCATGTCTTGGCAAGGGTGTGCTAGAGCAGCACTGGCCAGAAGACAAAGTCCTTCAGCAGTTTGGTCAGGAGCAGGAAGCCGAAGTACAAGCATGTCCCTTTCAGAGAGATTTCTGCATCCCTCAGGGTGAGGTTTTCCAGCTTGCTCAGGAAAGCTCTGGGTCTCGTCAAGTCACGTGTATTACCGCAGCTTGTTCAAGTGTCTTCTAGTTGTAAAATATTGTTGCTTGCTTGGGCCACTCCTGATGGCTGTTGCACCAAGAGGTGCTGAAGATGAGCTGGTTCAT